AAATAAAGCGTATTTACAGAAGGATTACATATTTGAAGCACGAAAACCCTGACCCTAGCTGACTGTAAAAAGTTATGACCAAGGTGTAAGTTTTTACAAAAGTACAGAAATCTCCAAGGTCAAGGTTAAAAGGCCCATGTTGTTGTTACTTCATCAAAAGTCTCTACACATAGTATACGTATATGAGATTCTTGTATTTATACTGTTCAAAAGATATGGCCAAAGTTAAAGTTTGGCATTTTTGTGTACATGTGGATTAAAATTCCAAAGTCAAGGTCTAAAGGTCAAATCTGCTATTTCCCTCGTACCCATTACATAACTTTAAAATATAGGTCCGATGATCTCAACCAAAAAGTAAAATTAAACAAGAGGTATTGTGTGCAATGAGCTCACTTAATGATCCCCCTGCCTTTCATAATGTGCATGTGTTGCTATATATTGTTTTACGGTAATGTGTAAAGAGGTATAACTCGTCCCATCAAATGCTAGCCAGAAGCTTCTATATGTGACTTAATAGGTAAACATATATAATTGCAATGTCTTTGTTTTGCTATGGGAAACCTACAATACCTGTCGAATAAAAAAGTAAAATAGGAGGTCACAATGATAATCCGAATAAAGATTATGTGAAAGTTTCATTAAATTTCACTCTATATGGTTTTTGGAGACCAGGTATTCCAACAATCTATTGGAATTCCCATGGGTACAAATTGCGCTCCGTTATTAGCAGACTTATTTTTATATTCATATGAAGCAGAATTTATGCAAAATCTTTTGCGTGAAAAGAAAAAACACTTGCTGTGGCCTTCAACTCGACATTTAGATATATCTACGACGTATTGTCAATTAATAATGATAATTTCCATTCCTACGTCGACACGATATATCCTGGTGAGCTTGAGATAAAAGATACCACAGAGTCCAACACATCTGCTTCATACTTGGATATTTTACTTGAAAAAGACACAAATGGTAATCTAACAACCAAGCTATATGATAAACGTGATGACTTTAACTTTTCTATCGTCAACTTCCCTTACTTATGCAGCAATATACCTTCATCACCTGCATACGGAGTATTTATATCTCAGTTGATTCGATACGCAAGAGCATGCTCTACGTATGAACAGTTTGGCATTTCTTAAACGAGGTAAATTATTGACAAGCAAGTTGATGAAACAAGAATATCAACAGTCTCGTTTAAAGTCATCATTTCGTAAATTCTATGGTCGATACAATGACCTTGTCAGCAAATACAATTTATCATTGAATGAAATGCTGACTGACGTTTTTCATACCAATTGTTAGTCCATTATTTATACACTGAATTGACTATATATTTTTTCCGTTATTTCCTGATTATGACAATGAGCACACGGCGGGTGTGACCGGTCAGCAGGGGATGCTCACTCCTCCATGGCACCTGATCCCACCTCTGATGTTTCGGAGGTCTTTGTTTGCTCTGCTCTTGTTTTGTATATTTGTTTAATGGACGTTGAGATTGAATACTGTTCGTTATTTCCATATCCTTATCTATAGCATGAGAGGAATTGCGGATAAGAGATAAAGCATAACAGACGGACGGACGTACATATGGACGGACGGACGAAAATCCCGATTAATATATACCCTCCCACTTTTCAATCGGAGGGTATAATAAGGCTTGACGTTCATAATATTGAATAGAAGACTTCATCCTTTAAACTTACGAATTTTTTAGCGATACCTTGCGAGTTATATTACATGTTCATGTATATATATAGAAAAATTTTGTCTCGTGCATAGGTATTGATTGAGTAAAAATGAACTCATTTTCAAAGTTTAAGTATAGTCTGCAAAATATCACCATCATAATTTCTGTATAAATAAATCCATATTTCAACTGAGAAAATTCGTTGATTTTTAACGATTTTTCCTGAAATATGAATTCCATACATGTTTTGACAGCCGTAAAACTATTAAACTGGGAGACATCTTCAAACCAGTTTATATTTTAAGCAAGAGAAGGATATGGAAATAACAAACAGTATTCAATCTCAACGTCCATTTAATAATATACAAAATAAGAGCAGAGCAAACACCGACCTCCGAAACATCAGAGGAAGAATCAGGTCCCAAAGAGGAGTAAGCATCACCTGCCGACCGGTGACAACCGCCGTGTGCTCGTTGTCATAATCAGGAAATAACGGAAAAAATACGTCGTCAATTCAGTGTTAGATAATGGACTAACAACTGGTAGCAATATAAACGCCATTTATTTCCACTATAAAGTTTTGATTAAGTTTAAGGTATATCGCGGGTTTACTGTCTGCCTGAAAACAAAGGCTGAAAATTTGTCAGCTAACTCCTCTCGTTTTGAATTTTTCTTTTTGAATTTTTTATGAGATTCGTCTGCGTGGTTAGATTGCAATCGTTATTCAAATGCGCTAATGTTGATGAGAATAGATGACGCTTTTTTAATGAAATATATATAGTAAAATGTCCCTTTTCTGCCTGTACACGCATTTTAAACCCATAATCATAACATTAAAACGAAGCAAACGAATTTTATATTACTCGATACAATGAATGTGAAGTAAATTTAAAATCGATTTATCAAAAAAAATTTATATGTGTTCTTGCTCAATTTCATGCAAAAAAACCCTTTAGAGTTTTACAATTTTTCAGCAAAAGTATTATATTTTCATCACGACGTTATATTATGTTGATTCAACGTCATTATTTTTGTATGCCTGCATGACTCGGAAAAATTGAATTAATCAACAATTCACTCAAAATAAAACATACAATCCGAGAATTCAGTTTCCCGATATAATTACATGTACATGTATTGGCAACCAACAGTGTGGCACTCGTAAGGCTAGGGGGTGCAGAAAAATTATAACAAATGTCCATGGATGTAAGAAAAAAAGAAACATTTAACCGGATTTGAGAACATTTTCAAACAAAGATACATGTATTTTTGCATAATTTTTATCTATAAATAAAATATACCCAATTTTAAATCGGAAGTATTGCAGTTGAATGAAAAGAGCTTTATAAACAACGTTGTATACATGTATTCCTTCATAGAATGAATTACTTTTGTTTTGTCCATCCCTGAATTAAGACTTCAGTTTTCCCTTCAAAATGTCCTAAAGGCAATTTCTTATCTCTGCTTTGCCAATATTTAGAATACTATAGAAAACATACAGTACACTCTGGAACATTACTATTTATATTTAGGCTCAAATAAAATTTACTTTGACAATTTTTTTTGTCATTTTAGAAAGTCAGATTATATTTTTTTATTTTTCTTGTTTATCTCTGATTGAAGTTATATGTGATTTGTTAAATGCTCTGTACCTGGTCGTAACCTATGTTTTTTAACCCCCTTCTCCGCAGTAAGCAAATTTCGAGATTGTAACTCTCCTACGATAGAGGCGCGAAAAGTTGTGTTTCTGTGCACCAGAGACGTATAATATTATACATCTTTGTGTGCACAAATAAATAAACGATATTTATGGCTTTTAAAATTTACTAAATGTTATTGAAAGATAATAATGTTAAGCAGTGATGCATTTGATAATTTTATCAAGCTCAATTATGCATATTTACAAATCTACTTTCAATTATAGGGAAACGTCGTAGTCTTTGTAAAAAGTAATTGATTTTCTTGATTGTACAACCATTTTCTTAAAAAGTTAGTGGGTTTTTTCAAGCGATGATAAGGGAAAGAATCAATGTGTCATTTAGATTGCCAACGTGTAATAATCAGATGCGTTTGTAACGTGTTTCTTTGCTTTAAAAATATTACACCTTTAATTAATTTAGTTATTCTCGATTTGTTAAGCATGTTAAGTACAACCTTACAGTTACTCTTGTAGTATATCGATGATGCAATGTATCCGATATATTAATAACTGTCCCAATATATATAGCAACAAAACTCCCCTCTCCGACGGAAGAGCGAGTCAGAGCAGATAATCTCGAAACTTGTGTATTTAACGCATACTGTTAACCAACTTATTCGCGTGCAAGAAATTTTAGCCAGATTGGCGAAAACCATGTCATCGAAATGCCATTGAAAGAAATTCAACCAGACAATTTTGCTTACATAGTTTGAAATATGGACTCTCAGACCCTCGTATGATGATTGTGAAATCAAACATTCGACAGGAGAATTGGCCACATTTTAACATTATTGTTTGATTAATTTCAAATTTGTTTAATACTCTATAAATAGGCAACCTTTATGTTACTTAATCTTAATAAGTTATATTGATACTGAAAAATTGTGTAAAATATTATGCAAAAAATGGAACTTACTCATGCAGCGTCAGAATTGAAAAATGAATAAAAAAAATGAACCAGTGGTTTCAGATATATTTGCGATTTTAAAATATTCAATGGTAAAAAATTTAAATATTCAGTAGATGCCGTCACAAGATTTGACCTTTGACCTCTTGATATGACCTTGATCTTTAGGGTACTTAAAAATGGAGACTCGTTATACATGTGTTTAATTATAAGTCCTCTGCTGTCTACGAAACAAAAGTTACACTGCATTTAATAAGAGACTGTAACATGCTTGTTTACTGCACTTAGATAGCGCAATTACACTCTAAAATGCTAGCTTCCAAGTGACCAATATATAGGATTCACTGATTTTTTAACACAATATGGCAAAATCATGCCACAACGTATTAATGTTTTTACAAGGATCGTTTATTACTAGTATTGTCAATATAAAAACATTATTTTTTCTACTGTACTTTTAAAGAAATGAGATAAAATAAAATTCATAGATGTTTTGTACTACCTGATTTTTTTCGAAAGAAGCAATATACTTTTACATTGATGGTATATATTTTCACACTGTTCTACTGTTTTTAATACAAATATTCGGTGATGTTGTTACCCATTTATTTTCTTATTTTTCAAATTCTCCACTCATGCGAAGACCACATTAAGATTAAACTGTTTTTGTCATTCCACTTTTACAATACCCCGGCCACAGTGTGTTTTAGCAGGAAGTAAATATTACACGACTGGATACACGTAATATATTAAAAATGGGCGTCACCTATCATGACTGGTAAGTATTGTGAAAGAGATTTATCTAAAAGATTAGAACGATTAATATTTTAATTAGTATAGAGCGTCTTGATAGCTACATACTCATGCATTTTAGAAGAAACCTTTCTACACTCTGATAAAAATAAATATTTTGAAGAGTTGTGATCAGCAGTCATGGATCAAGTACCAGATAAAGCCCAGCATTATGTGGAGTGTGACACAAAATCCTGTAGAAACTCCTCAAAGTTTTACTGCAATACCTGTCATGAGCGACTCTGTGACAAATGCAAACAGCGTCATCTAGAGCAGAACAATGGACATGAGATCGTCCTTTATCAGGAGAGGAAAAGAAAACTACCTTCAGAGAAATGCCGGATCCACCCCACACAAGATGTAGATATTTACTGTAAAGTTTGTCAGGATCCTCTTTGTTCTACATGCTTTAACCAAGACCACAGTGATCATGATATATGTGAACTTGAAACCATCTACAATGACCTTTTACAGCAATGTCAGAAGGAAATAACTGAGATCTGGAAAACAATCATTCCTAAAGCTAATTATAATGTTGGATCAATTGGGGAAAAGAGAGAAAATGTCAAGAAAGAAATTGCCGAGTTTAGAGTTTCCATGCAGAAGAGAGCAGATGAGCTGAAGATGGCTGTTGATAGTATACTAACTGATAATAATAAAAAACTTGATGAGATCGAGAAATGTGTCCTGAATGATATGATGGAACAGCAGAATGAAACAAAGGACTATATAGAATACCTGGAAAAAATGATTTCAGACTACGAGAGTAAAATGTCTTCAATAAAACACAATGAACTCATGAAATTACATTTAGACATTTCATTGGCTACCCTGAAGATACCTAACAAAGTTACACACGAATTGCCAATTTTAACATTAGGTAAACTAAATAAGGAAGAAATAGCCAATCAGTTTGGTGAAATAGAAGTAGATTTATCAGAAAGGTTTAAACTTTCCTCTGTCACAAAAGTAAGTGAAAAAACTATCCAAAGCACAGGAATCTGTCATTTGTCTTTCTTACCCCCTAACATATTTTGGACCAGTGATAACTTTGGAAATCTCATTCAGTATGATATGGAAGGAAACATCCTGCATTATATATCCACCAGTATGTTGTATGTTCAAGGTTTCCATACGTTCACCACAGAAGGAGAACTTCTTTACACAGATTACAGTGAGAAATCTGTCAACAGAGTAACTAGTGACATGTCCACTAACACGCTTATTCAGACAGGGAGCTGGAGACCTGGAGCTATCTACTCCTCTCATATCAATGGACACATATTGGTCGGGATGGAGAGAAAGTCAAGCCGGAAAATAACCAGATACAACAAAGAAGGAAAGAAGTTACAGGACATACAGTGGGATGATAAAGGACAAAGTCTCTTTCAAAGTATACACTACATCACAGAGAATATCAATGGTGACATCTGTGCTTCAGATGCTGGTAAGGTTGTGGTGGTGAATGCATCAGGGGAGTATAATTTCTCTTACACTGATCATCAGTCTCGGGATGGATTCTGGCCCTATGGAATCTGTACAGATGTTCTGGGACACATTTTGGTGTCTAATAGCTATTATTCATTAACCATGTTAACGAATTTCTCCAGTGTCTATCTGTTGGACATCAAAGGACAGTTTCTTACTCTCCTATTGACACCAGAACGATGTCCTCCAGATCCCCGTGCTCTCTGTATTGATGATCAACACAATCTATGGGTTGGAGGATGGCGCAGTTCTACTGTCTTTGTGTACAAGTATTTGCAGAACACAACCCTATGAACTGTAGCTCTCCAAAAACTATATTGAGCTCCAGTTCCATCCACTGAAAAAAGTGTACTATATATTAATTACTTATTACACACAAAAATGTGCACTGTTTTTTCTATTTATTTCTCCATGTTTTTAAAACTGCAATCGCAAAATATTACTTTTGGTGCGTTTCCTACTTGATAGAGGAGTAAAGATTTTGTCAATTGAACATTTATCGTTTTTGTTATTGAAGTAAGAATATCTAGAGATATTAAGCAGAACCAAATATAACAAAACCAACAAATATAGTACCATATATACGTACTATAGCTCTCTGGCTATAGACATCCATTCCAATTTTTATAGACCTGCAAGTTACGGTCCTGCAGCTATGTTTATGCTCTATCAATTTGTAATACATACAACCTATAATAGTGCTTGTCAAGAAATAAATATTGATGGTAAAAGCCTCAATGGAAAATGAATTTAGTTAAATGTCAAATGATTGATCAAATCTTATGAAGCACAAAGAACTTCTCAATAAACTTGTTTTTTTTTTCTTTTTCATGATTTTGATTACTTATATTTACTCTTGAGACACAAATTACATACGTAAATATCAACTTGATTGATTGATTGATTGTTTATTGTTTAACATCCCTCTTGAGAATTTAAATATCAACTTGAAGGCAGATATCTATGTTGTTTCAAACAAATACCTTGGAGTACGTTCAATAGCTCAAATATTTGATTGTAAATAACTATGAAATATAATGAAATTACAATTACAATGTAATCAAATTCCAGAATATGTCTACAACTAGGGATGGGGTCAATCATTTTTTAAAAAAAAGATATTAATTGAATTACAATTACTTTGACTTTTTCAGCAATTAAATAACAATTAAATCACAGGCTTACTAGGACATGTGATTGATTAAATTAAAATAACTTTACAAAGGTAAGCAATTAAATTACAAATAAAATTGTCAACTTTTTGATTTTCGTTTTTTAAATCAGGATAGGGGTCATTCATTTGTATTTAAACGCAGGCTCTGTACAAACAATACAAGAAATAATATGCTATAAGCCGTTGTGTATATTTGTAGTTTCAATCATAACTTTTATTCACAAAACAGCAAAGACTATTCAGATCAAATTGATGAAATTGAAAAATGTTCAATTACAAATCACTTCCAATTAATTAAAGAAAAGTTATTTATTACATTCAAATACAATTACTTTTTTTAATTACCCCATCCCTATTCATTACACAACCATGTATTAGATGGTTTTGTCCCTTATAAATGTGTAAATATTTTTTGTTAATTTTAATTTTTTTTATAAAATTGGCCAGTTTGAACTTTTTTGCATATATATAACAAATTGTCAACGAGTAATTTATTGTTGCTTTGAATGTCATATTTTAAATATTTATGCTCATGTATTAACACTACTGTAGCTTTAATAGGATTGATCATATATGTGGGTTGTCCATCAAATTCGTTGGAAAATTTAATAAAAGTCATTGATTTTTATCTGACGTTTTCCTGGCATGTAAAATATCAAAATCGTAAAAAAAAACAGAAAAAAACGTAAGATTTTTCGGACTAGTCAAATATGCAAAATGTGAACGTTTAAAGTTTCAAAATGGCTGAGCAATCAAAGTTAAAACATATTAAGACAGGATCAGAATTGTTAGAAAAAAGGGATGTTTTTGGAATAGGTGGAATAGTGAACAATTCTGTGTAGACATTGGAAAAAGACGCACATAAACCAAAACATTATGTAAACAATCGGCTAAACAAAGTAAAAGAAGTAAATTTGTCGAAAAATAGCCCTTCCAACTTTTGTTCTTTGTTCGATGTACCCGACTTAAGATAGATATTATCTTATCTCATCGTTCACTAGTATTTAAGTGGCATATAATATTTTCGGACGAAAAAAAACAGTTTACAGGATGACATGCCTGAAGGGAAACCATCATTCCGAGATAGCTTTGCTGTAAAATGATTTTCAAGGCAAATCAGCCAAGAAGGATAACTCCAAAAATCTAAACTTGTATTTAATTTGAAAAGCATCAAAGAATTCTTGAATCCAGCCATCGATACTATACAATTATTGCTGAGTTTTGAGGTCAATACAATAATTTAGCCATCTGAGGAGTACAATATTCACCGAGCCCGAAGGACGAGGTAAATATTGTACTTCGACGATGGCTAATCATTGTATTGACCAAAAAACAGCAATAATTGTTTTACTATATGATTTACTGATAAAAAGATACAGCTCATTACTTGTTGGCATTTATATGTAATTATAAGTCCTAACCAAATACAAGAGAGAAACAGAATCAAAATGTTAATAAACCTTACCAGTCGTATCAATTAGGTATGTTTTATTTTTATCAATTTTAGTTCCCATAAAAATATAATGTCAGTCTTTTTATATGATAGATTTTGAAAGGAAGGAGCATTATCATGGAAAGCTGACTGCCAAAAAGTAAAAATTGTTGTTCAATAAAACTGTTGGATGGGGAGGGGGTCTCTGTATCCCCTCTTAACACCCTCACACAAAAATGAATATATTCTTATGTTTTGTCCACATGTAAAAAAAAAGTCATAGTCGTCATCTATTTTTAGATCAATGTCGAAGAAATAATTCCTTGTACTCACCTGGAACGTCACGTGCAGGTCGATACAACGTAGTATTTTTCTAACATAGTTGGATCTCAGCCAATCAGAGAGATGGAAATTATTCAATCATGTAATAAAAATGCTTTTTAGCATGCTTTGAAATAAGAACTGATTTGTGGTGTCTAGCAATGATAGCAAAATTCTTTTACACTAGTATGTATTATAGAATGCATGACGGAAATAGAAGACAAAAACTACCAATTTGAAATACCCCAGGTAAGTATAAACACATTAAACATTTTTCTGAATGCCTGGATACCTATATTGTTTCTAAACCTAAAATATATTTGTTGATCAATTTTCAATTAGAAAATGCACTGCTGATATTCCAATTCGCTTTTCTGCAAAAATATTGGAAATTGGACAATTTTCCCTGAATACCCGGTGATTATACTTAATGTGATAAACTTTAATCTTTAAGTTTAAAAAATTTAGCAACTTTGTCGATTCAGAGATATTTTATAAGTTTCTTTGATTGCTTATTTTATAACCCTGAGGATTGGACGACCTTACAAGAAATTCCTTAGAGTATATTAGCATTATTAAGGTCAGTATTTTAACAATAAACCGATTCTTGCAATGTTTAAAATATTAACACTATTAAATAGCAAGTATCGTTTAACATTTTATATTTTAACTCTTTGCTCGTCTGCTATTTATATCTGATATTTAAATTACAGTTACAGTGTGATACAATCTAGCCCATTTATTCTCTTATTATTCAATTTCTGCAGTGATGCAAAGACAGCAAGGAGATTTAAATGTGTTTGTCATCGGAGGTAAATTACATTCTACGTACGTACCAGTGGATATATGAAAAAGGATATGGAAATAACGAGCAGTATTCAATCTCAGCGTCCATTAAACAAATATACAATGTAAGAGCAGAGCAAACACGGACCTCAAAAACATCAGAGGTGGGATCAGGTGCCATGGAGGAGTGAGCATCCCCTGCCGACCGGTCCCACCCGCCGTGTGCTCGTTGTCATAATCAGGAAATAACGGAAAAAATCCGTGGTCAATTCAGTGTATAAGTAATGGACTAACAATTGGTATGAAAAACGTCAGTCAGCATTTCATTCAATGATAAATTGTATTTGCTGACAAGGTCATTGTATCGACAATAGAATTTACGAAATGATGACTTTAAACGAGACTGTTGATATTCTTGTTTCATCAACTTGCTTGTCAATAATTTACCTCGTTTAAGAAATTGTTCATACGTAGAGCATGCTCTTGCGTATCGAATCAACTGATATATAAATACTCCGTATGCAGGTTATGAAGGTATATATCTAATGCAATACAAATGGCTGACATTTATCTAAACTGGGAAGGTATTGTGAAAGTTATATATCTACCAAATAAGTTAATGATAAGATTTGAGCGCGTTGAAAGCTGCATCCATGTTATTTTGCCCTATCTACACTCTGATGAAAAAAATATTTTGTAGAGATTTCATCAATGATAATGAACCAAGTACCAGATACAGCCCAGCACATTATTGAGTGTGACACAGAATCCTGTAGGAACTTCTCTGAGATTTACTGTAACATTTGTCACCAGCTAATATGTGACCAATGCAAACAGCGCCATCTAGAGCAAAACAATGGACATGATATTGTCCGCTATCAAGAGAGAAAGAGACAACTTCCTTCTGAAAAATGCAAGATCCATCCCACACAAAAAGTAGACGTTTACTGTCAAGTTTGCCAGGATCCTGTCTGTTCTATATGCTTTGTATGGAATCATAGTGATCATTATAAAAGTGACTTTGAAACAATCTACAATGATATTTTTCTCCAATGTCAGAAGGAAATAACTGAGATCTGGAAAACTGTTGTTCCTGAAGCTAAAAATAATGTTGAATTACTTTCAGAAGAAAAAGAAAACAATACGAGTGAAATTGCCAAGATGTTTGTTGACAGTGTACTTACTGATAATAACAAAAAACTGGATGAGATGGAAAACTTTGTCGTTAATGAAATTAATCAGACTCTAATGCTAATAAGGTTGTGGTGGTAACTGCATCAGGAGAGTATCGCTTCTCTTACTCTGGTCACTATTCTCAGTCTTGATTCTGTCCCTACGAAATCTGTACAGATGTTTTGGGACACAGTTTGGTGTGTAATGGCATTACATTGTTTAATATTAAGCGTGATAGTATCCACCTGCTTGACATTAATGGTCAGTTCATTCTCTCCTACTCACACCAGAAATATGCCCCCCCCCCCATCTCCTAGTGCTCTCTGTATTGATATTCAACACAATCTGTGGGTCGGGGGAATAAGTGCCACTGTCTCCGTGTACAAGTATTTGAAGAACACAAGAATATGACATTTTATTTACTGTACATGTACATGTATTGTTTACACTCACACCAGACATACAGTTTGGTTTGAGGGTCGACAGAACGCATTTGCACGAGAACATAGTCAATAAATGTTTTGTTATACCTTTCATTTTAATTGTTTTGGACATATGTGTATTTCATATTATTATCTTCCGTGGTGTAACCTCAGGTCTGTCACTGTGGAACATCAACGAATGAAAATGAGATTACGCTCCGCCCATTCTGTGACGTAAGCGGTTCATCATATCACTCAGCAGTCAAACATCGATTTTATGCACATTCGGCAAGAGAAATAGAAAACAATAAAAAATGGAGAAAAGTGCAATATTTTAATTTATCACAGAAGTCATAAAATTAAGCTTGACAAAACTTTTAATGTCTGTTTTCTCTGGCAAAATGTGTTTTGTCGACACATTGAACCAAATAGCATGGATTTTTTGGTGCAACAAAATACATCCCAGATAGCAAGACTATGTTGGGCCAACATTGGCAAAAGGTTGTATGGTTGGCGTTGGGGAAACAACGTTGGGCCAACGTTGGACCAATGTCACCATGCCAACCTTCTCGACTATGACAGAATTCCTATGTTGGCCCAACGTTGGTCCAACGTTAGCATCTTCCATTCACTTTACTTCCCAAGGAAGGATCGGGTGTTGATGTTGGCCCAACGTTGGCCCAATGTTTGTAATGCACCCGTAAAGAAAGTGTCATTTAAAACTGGTTATAGTATGTTGGCCCAACGTTGGCCCGATGTTTGTAATACACCCTTTAAGAAAGTGTCTTTTAAAGTTGGTAGTAGTATCTTGGCCCAACGTTGGCCCGATGTTTGTAATACACTCTTAAAGAAAGTGTCTTTTAAAGTTGGTAGTAGTATGTTGGCCCAACGTTGGCCCGATGTTTGTAATACACCCTTAAAGAAAGTGTCTTCTAAAGTTTGTAGTAGTATGTTGTCCCAACGTTGGCCAAATGTTTGTAATACACCCTTAAAGAAAGTGTCTTTTAAAGTTGGTAGCAGTATGTTGGCCCAACGTTGGCCCAATGTTTGTTATACAACCATAAAAAGAATGCGTCTTATCAATTTGATAGTAGTATGTTGGCCCAACGTTGGCCAAATTTTTGTAATACATACGTAATAAAGTGTCTTCTAAAGTTGGTAGTAGTATGTTGGCCCAATGTTTGTTATACACCTTTAAAGAAAGTGTCTTATCAATTTGGTAGTAGTACGTTGGCCCAATGTTAGTGTTCTTTTGTTTAGGTGTTTCAAAGATTGGATGTTTATATTGGGCCAACGCTGGCCCAGTTATTATACTGCCAACTAAAGATGGTGTCAATTTTACCTGCTGAGCTGACATTCTATGTCCATGCTTTTAATTGGATGACTATTTTTGTTTAAATCTGATATATTCAACATTTTAAATTCACAGCACCAAAGAGTGTTTTATTTTAGTTTTTGAATTGTGCACATGCATGATTATTTATTAGAAATAAAACCTTTGAAATCATAATTTTTTTCATGAGCGTTGTATTCATGAGAATTTAGAGAAGTCTGAATAAGTTCTCATGAATAGGATGTGAATGAAGCCCACATATACATAAATCAAAATGACACAGCTTCATAATTAAATTGAAACAAAAGTTAGGCGTTCGCTAACACGTGACCAAACTGTGGAGTTAGCTGTCAGATTCAATTGCTCACAGGTGGTGATAATGGAGGGCAAGCAAGAAGAAGTGAAATTTAAATTTGTGGATTATACACTTGCTATATAGCTGCATATAGAAGCGATGTAAGTATACTTATTCTTATTTATTCAGGTTAACTGATTAAATTGATTCGGAATTCAATCTTTTCATGTTTTTGCACACAAGCACTGTAATTAAGGTTAAATAACATCTTTGAAGTTGTTTCTATCTATCTAATTCTTAACTGTCTATTACAGACACGATTGTAACAAAGAAATTCAGTCAGAGACTGCAAGGAAAACAAATGTGGTGGCGGTAAATAACAATGAAATCGAAGACCATGTGTAAAGAATTGTATAAAGTACGAGTCCGTATGACAAAGATCAAGATGAGGAAAACGGGAGGCGACGAAGGGACGGAAAAAGAGCGGGAATACAACAAAAGGACAGTAATAAAGGAAGTGACTAATGTGAGCCCTGATTAAGAACTTTGAATTGATAAATTTTTATTATTTACCTCTGTTGTCTTTTCTAAAATTTATTTTATAAATTATGATTGAATTGATTTATATAAAATATTATCACAATGAATCATTAGTAATGTTTTTATTGAACATGTCCATGTATGCATTATGAATGCAGATTGAATTGTGTATTAATTATTTTAAACAGTCATAAAAATGGGTTTATGTAAAGAATCACTTAACCAATTGCAAATGTTTCTATGTAATAACTACGTTGGCCCAACAATTTGCCATTTGACATTGTAAAAAAGGGTCAAAATTGGGTCAACCTAACCAAACAGTTGTTAAGGTTGGCTGTCAGTCGGCATACACTAAAAACTACGTTGGCCCAACAATATGCCATCTGATATTTCAACATAGGGCCAACATTGGGCCAACATAACCTAACAGTTGTAAAGGTTGGCTGTTAGTTGGCATACACTTATAGCTACGTTGGCCCAACAATATGTCGTCTGACATTTCAACAAAGGCCCAACGTTGGGCCAACCTAACGAACCAGTTTTTAAGGTTGGCTGTTAGTTGTCATACAATTATACCTACGTTGGCCCAACAATATGCCAACATGTTGGACCAACGTTGGGCCGATGAGCAAAATTACCGTGGGCCAACGTAAGGTTACCAACCGTGGGCCAACGTTGGAAAAAAAATTGGGCCAACGTTGGCCCAACTACCGGTATGTCTTGCTATCTGGGATGTTGCCCTCGAAATCAATGGCTGTTTAATATCTATTTTTTTTAAATAACATATAAAGATTACATATATTTTTTGTATACTTAATTTTCCAGTATTTTGAGGCTTAACAACTTCATTTCAATATTAACCAAAGAAACTTTAACATCCCTCAAACAAAGGTCAATTTGAGTCATGTGTCTCATGGCATAATTTGATAAATCACACTTGCACAGTAAAATGACTTTGTTTGACCCTCCCTTTTTCACATTCATCATTTGACATTTTTATCATGTGTTACTTTGTCAGACAATATTATAGTAAATTTTACAAGCATCTCACTGGTCTTGTAAAAAAGTCTATCAAAATGATGGGTTAACAACAAAACAATGGTTTATTGTTTATAACAAATTGAAATGAATTCACAAAAATACTTCTCGTTCAAAAGCAATTAACTAATTTTTTCAGCTCTCTTATCATTGGAAGCATACATTAACATTGTCATACGGCATCAAGTTTTGAAATGTGAAAAAGAATATTTTTCTAGTGTACAAAGTGTCACTAGAAACAAAATATTTCAAATGATAGACACCATTGTTACAAAAGATTAATCAATAACTTTTATTGAAGTTATTTTTCTAAAACGCTAGTCTCATTATTTCCATCTCAAATGTATAATATTGTATTATCATTTGTATTATATACATTATATGTCCTTGCATGATCCTCCTCAAACCACAGCACATCCATCTACTCAGAATAATCATCCACAACTTTTACAAGATAAACCATTGTCATACAACATCAAATAACATCTACACAGAAATAATCATCCATGGGTTTTACAAGATCAACAATTGTCATACAACATCAAGTAACATCTACATAGAATAATCATCTACAACTTTTACAAGATCACCCATTGTCATACGACATCAAATAACATCTACACAGAATAATCATCTACAGCTTTTACAAGATCAATCATTGTCATACGACATCAAATAACATCTACACAGCAATAATCATCTACAACTCTTTACAAGATCAATCATTGTCATACGACATCAAATAACATCTACACAGCAATAATCATCTACAACTTTTACAAGATCAACCATTGTCATACGACATCAAATAACATCTACACAGCAATAATCATCTACAACTTTTACAAGATCAACCATTGTCATACGACATCAAATAACATCTACACAGTAATAATCATCCACAACTTTTACAAGATCAACCATTGTCATACGGCATCAAATTACATCTACACATGAATAATCATCCACATCTTTTCTTCTTTTACAAGATCAACCATTGTCACACAGCAACAAATAACATCTACACAGGAATAATCATCTACAGCTTTTACAAGATCAACCATTGTCATACGACATCAAATAACATCTAGACAGAAATAATCATCTACAGCTTTTACAAGATCAACCATTGTCACACGACATCAAATAACATCTACACCGAATAATCATCAACAGCTTTTACAAGATCAACCATTGTCATACAACATCAAATAACATATACACAGGAATACTCATCTGCAGCTTTTACAAGAACAACCATTGTCATACGACATCAAATATCATCTACACAGGAATAATCATCTTCAGCTTTTACAAGATCAACCATTGTCATACGACATCAAATAACATCTACACAGAATAATCATATCAACAGCTTTTACAAGATCAACCATTGTCATACGACATCAAATAACATCTACACAGAATAAATCATCAACAGCTTTCACAAGATCAACCATTGTCATACGAC